TGGTAGCAGGTGTCAGCTCGGGCTTCCGGTGGAAGGCTGAAGAACATTCCATGGTGTTCTTGGACCACAGTAGTTCATGCCTCCCTCTCTCCACTGACAAGTTGCTTCCACATCTTGCCGGTTGTGAAATGGGTAGACAAGTAGTCGTTCGAGTTCCCATTACTTTTTGAGACTTGTCTTGAAATTTAAAAAAAAAAGAAAGAAAGAAAGAAAGAAAAGCAAAAATAAAAGCATTGTCTCCAGAAGATTCCAAATGGAGCATATATAAACAAGAGGGCTGGCTGCCCCCCTCCACCTACCAGCAGGGATTTGTTTATCCAAACCTGAGCTGTCCCTTGGGAAAAAGCAGAGTCCTGAAGAAAGAGAACACAGGACAGGTAAGTCTGGCCAAGATGGAAAAGAGTGGAAAGATCCCGCACTTGGGACACTGCCTGCAAACGACAGGGAGGGACAGAGTCTTGGGGAGCCGATGATCACCCGGGGGCGTGGGAACCCCTAGGAGGGGCAGTGGAAGGGGTCTTGGAAGGGAGCCCCTGTGGAGTTGGTCAGGGATCCTGGGGGCAGAGGTCAGCCTCTTATTATGGCACAAATAGCAGCAGGGTGTGACTTCCGGGGAGGCTGAGGGGGACGTTCTCCAAAGCCCCTTCCGCTCTAGGGCTCTGAGACTCTGCTCTTCACGTTGGTCCTAAGAGGCCAGGACAGCTATTGCAGGGAGAGAAGGAAGGGGTCTATGGCCTCCCTGCAGATTCCCTCCGCATCCCTGCATCCAGCAACTCTGAAGGAAAAGTGTAATGACCCACTCCAGTCCTCCCCCACTTCCCTGAGAAAACCCAGCAGGCCATGCTAGAGGGCCTATCACACGATGTGATTGTTGGCTTAGCACGGACTTTCCCAAACAACCCAGTGCAAGATAAGGCTGGAGGAGAGGCCTGGGCTTGGGAGCCCGCCCACAGCTCTGCCTGAATGCCCAGGCGAGCCACCCTGGCCCTCCAGAGCACCCCACCCTGTGTCTGTCCCCTGCCCTGCCAGCCAGGAGCCAGGGCCTCCAGGGATGGAACCCCAAATTCCAGGGGAGTTTGGACACACAGAGAAGAAGGGATTGGAAGGGGAAGTAGTCCAGTCATAAGGATGTGGGGAAGAAAGAGAAGGAACAGAAAGAGACCGCAATCTGTAGTTCCCAGCTCCGTCAGGGAGCAGAGGGCAGGCCAGGCCTGGGGGGTTAGAGGGAATGGGAAGAAGGGGGCACTTGCTCACCAGGGCCGAGGGCTTGGCTGGCTTTGCAGTGCTGTCAGCAGCTCAGGGGGCCACCTGGAGAGGGAAACAGTCACCTTCCAGAATATCTAGTACTTGTCAGGTCCTAACTCCTACCAGTATTCCCATAAGCTTACCTCCCTTGTCCCTAGAGCCCCAAAGGAGCTAATCTAGGACAGAACATGATCCCAGGGTCATTTCAATCATTTCTTTTTTTTTTTTTTTAAGATTTTATTTATTTATTTGTTATAGAGAGAGCACAAGTAGGCAGAGTGGCAGGCAGAGGCAGAGAGAGAAGCAGGCTCCCCGCTGGACAAGGAGCGCGATGCGGGACTCGATCCCAGGACCCCGGGATCATGACTTTAGCCGAAGGCAGCGGCCTAACCGACTGAGCCACCCAGGCGTCCCTCAATCATTTCAACTTACCACGACAAGCCCCCTTGAGCACCTACTCTGTGTCAGCCGATATGGTAGAGGCGTCCTGAGTGGACCCCGTTCTTCCCACGAGCTGCCGGCTCTGCCTCTCCTCCCCCACCTGCTGCCAGTATGTGCTCCATCTCTAAGAGTTCCCTTTCCATCAGATCCCCCCTTTCTTGTGATTTCTATGGATTGTTAAGGATTTCCCCCTCTCCCCTTATTAGGGAGCTACAGAAAACCTGTTATTAGGGAACAAAGTTACATTCAGAAGGAAATTCTAGCCAAACTTAAAGGGTTTTCCTACAATAGATCAGTCTCTATCCCCCTGCAAAGTAAACAGGGCTAGGCCCACTCCCCACGCAGACCACATCCTAGATGGCCACAGGCCCCTCCCAGTCTGGGCACCAGCCCCTCCCCGAGTAGGCTGGGTTGGGTGCAGACCACATGCCTTAGGTAGGCCTGCTGCAAGGTGAATCACCTGCCCCAGCTTTCTCCAGAACCTGGTTCCCGTCTTCACTCTGGCCTCCTGGGTCCTCTAAATAAAGGAGTCCTTTCCCCACGGCCTCCCAGAGAGGTCCACCAGGCACCGGCTTGGTGGAAGCCTCTCCTGGCTCCCCTTGGGGTTCTGCGGCTCCGGCAGGCAAGAAAACTCCAGAAGCAGAGCCTGGTGCGGCAGGGGAGGGACAGCCGAGCAGCAGGGCGCTCATAAGCCTGTGTATTGTCGTTCTTTAATCAGTCCCCTTGCTGCATTCACTGTAATGACCATGCAGTGAAAACCTTCTATCCGTGTCGTGGTGCATGTCCAGGTCCGTGGGTAGGACACATTCCTCGAAGTGGGACAAAACAGAGGCCCTGTCCTGGTGGAGCTTGCCTTCTGCCGGGGGAGACAGACAGCAGATGAACAAGTAGACAATGTGTCGGGGCGAGTGATGCGATAGCAAGAAGTAAGCCAGGAGGAGAGTGGGGCTGGTGGCTTACACCAGCCGGGGAGTCAGGAATGTGTCAGTGAGTAGAACAAGCACCCCAGTGGCCTCAACACCTGTCACTTTGTGTTTGTGGCACCGTTTCCTCCCCTGGATTGTCCCCTGCTTTCTGTCTGCTTCTCCTTGGAGCAAGTCAAGGACTAGCTCTTTTCCTTCTTCCCCAAATGATTTCTGCGTGTCTGCTGCCAGCCCAGTTCTGACATACAGGGAGAGGCAAGAGGAAGGAAGGCGAAGGCAAAAGGGAAGGGAAGGGAAGGGAAGAGAAGGAAGCCTGGGCTCTGAGAGCACCTCCAGCCAGTATAGCCAGCACTGACCTATCTTCCCTGGACTCCATGCCCCGCACACCCACGGGGCACGCGGCAAAGCTCCCCCTAAATCTTCAGCCCTCTGGAGGTGAACGCTCTGGCTCTTGCTGGGAGGGGCCACGGGCTGGGTGGACATACACAACCTGACAGAAGGGAAGAGGTGAGTGCGGCAGACACACAGAATCGGATTTCAAGCTAGCAGCAGGAATAGTCCCCAGCACGGCACACCCTCACACCCGGGTCAAAAACCCTGATTGCAGTCCTTGTTCAGGGAATGAGGACACTCACCCTAAAAGTGCCTTCCTCTTGTGCTCTCCTCACTCTCCACCCTTCCTCTAAAACTAACCAACCAACCAACCAACCAAAAAACCTGTGTGATTAGTATCTAGGAACATTAAGTGAATCCCTCCTGTTGCCAGGAGCTAGCCCAGGTGTTGAAGGTGGCAAATAGGAACACAGCACTGTCCCAGCCGTCAGGAAGCGGGCGGTTCCCCCTGGAAAATGTATTTTCCCTCATGTGGAATGCCAAGCAGGTGGACAAGCTGGGGAGTGAGAAGCAGGAAGGGGCAGCAGGGCCTGGAGAGATCCAGAGGCTTCAAGGAAAGCTGTGGGCCTTGAAGGGTGGGCGAGTATGGGGAGTTGCCTCAGAGGGAAAAGTCATCCGTGGCAGATAATCCAAACGCAGGGTCCTCCTGTGGATGTGAGGATCAGTGTGGCGGGGAATGGCGGTGGGCGCGTACATAGGGGTTTGCAAGAAGAATCTCCAGTCAGCCAAGGGGCCAGAGGGAGATGGGGTCGGCGGAGTTTGTGGAGAACAAGACTAGAGCTTCTCTGAAGCTGTGAGCTGTGCCTTGAGAAGGTTCCTACTGGGAATTAAGAAAAAGGAATTTTATGAAAAACCAGAAAATAGCAAATACTGGTGAAGATAGGGAAAAATCAGAACTCTCCGACATTGCTGGGGGGAAATGCAAAATAGCACCCCCACTGTAATTTGTCTAGTCCCCAGAAAGTGCAGCGAGACCCAGCAATTCCACTCGGAGGTGAGGATCCCCTGAGACCTGAAGACAGGAGCTCACGCCAAAACCTGTACGCGCATGATCACAGCGGCATTATCTGTGAGAGCCAAGAAAGGGGAAACAGCCCGTGTGTCTGTCAGCTGATGAATGTATCAACAAAATGTGGTCTCTCCATACAGTGGAATATTATCCAGCCATAAAAAGGAACATCGGACTGGTCCTTGCTACCACACAGGCAATCTTCTAGAAAGTTCTGTTCATGAAAGAAGTCAGTCCCCAAGGACCACATACTGTATGATGCGTTTATGTGAACTATCTATCCATAAGAGACAAATACACAGAGACAGAGATCAGGGGCTTGGGGGAGGGCGAGGCTCGGAGTTAGGTAATGCTAATAGTTGCAGAACATTTCGAATACATCAAAGGTCACTTGGCCAAAAAACGGCCAATTGGATGTTGTGTGAATTAGAGCTCAGTTGAGAGAGAGAGAGGGAATGAGATGAGGCAGAGGGGAGCCTGGACGGGGGTATGGCCAGTCTTAGCAACCGAGCAGCCTGGCCATGGCCTTGGTCAGGAAGCAATTCTGGCCTATGGGTAAGTTAGCGCAGCCGTGGTTTTGCAGAAGAGCACTGGGATTTCTGGAAGGCCTCCTCTAGCAAGGGCTCAGGAGCGCCCGAGACCATGGCTGAGCCCCCTTCACCCATCCAAAAGTCTTTACATGAATTGTATGGCTCTGAAGATTTTTGCTGACCACTCGTTACGGACATCGGTCCCAGCATATTTGCCACTTCAGACCTGCCTGCAGCCTTGCTCTGCCGTGGCCTCTCATTGTGGCCTGGCTTGGCCTGGGCGCCACCATGGTCCTCCAGCTGCTCAAGTCCTGCTAGAGAAATCGCTGTGTTCCTGCTGCCCTCTGACCCTCGTGGGCTCTCTCCCCATCCTCCCCTCCGACGTGTCTGTTCCAGGCCACATCGGGGCTGGAAAGGGGCCGCCCCCTCAGTAGTGTTCTCTGCCTCTCTCTTCCACAGCTCTTGCAATCTCAGGATGTGAAGGAAGACGCCGTCCTGTGCTGCTCGATGGAGGTAAGCACCTCTAACCTCAGACCTTCCAGTTGTGGGCAGTGGAGGGTCACAAGAGGTACCCGCCAGTCCCAGGCAGGGGTGTGTAGAGGGGGCTGGTGGGGAATGGTTTCCTAAGCCGATGTGGATGCAGGATTATCAACCCCAAAGCAGAGTAAATGTGGATGGGGTAACCAGCCCGCCACTAGCTAGAGGAAGAGATGCCTGACTCTCTAGAGAGAAGGACCAAGGGCTGACATTGTGCCCTGTCCTCTGTCCCCAAGACCACCTCTTCCTTGCACCAGGCCCACCATATAAATGACTTAAGGGATTCCAGGTGACCCCCACCCCCAAATATCTCCATTGGCTTTTGTGGTGCGGGGCTTGAAGAAGACGCTTGAGGCCTGAGGCCCCGTATTGACACCCTCTGCTTCAAAGCACCCCCGCAGGGGTCACCACCCCTGCTCCCAAAGTGTGGCCACTATGCATTGAACAACTCTTCCTCTGGGATCTTCCTCAGGGACAAACTTTGCTCTGGGAGTCCAGCCCAGTCACTGAGAACAGAGTGCCGTGAGGACAGGTGCTTCCAGCCTGGGCACCCAGGGCCTGTCAGGGCTGTGTGAGCACAGCTCTCAGGTGGCTTCTGCCCGGCCTCCAAGGCCACTCCCAATGCTCTCAGCGGCCAGAGGGGCTAGGAGTCTGGACAACAGCCTCAGGTCTATGGGATGGTCACTGTTCATTTGTGGGGCTCCATCTGGGTACTGTACATGGGACTTGGTGACAGGGCAATAGGGGAAAAAGAGAACCTAGTCCCTATCCTCAGCTTCCACTCCAGCTGGGGATAGATAACACAGGGTAGAGAAGAAACACAGGTACAGAGCCTGCATCCCTGAGGAGTCAGAGGAGAGAGATCAAGGTGGTCCGGGAAGGTCGAGGAGAACTTTTTGAAGAAGGCAGAGCCTTGAAAAATGGGTGGGGCGAGGTGGGGCTGGGCAGAGATGGAGACTGAGATACCTCGGAGACGCCCGCAGGGGCTGCTGCCCAAGGGTGGGGGATCCAGACCACTGGGACCCCTTCTTCCCTGCAGAGGCTTTTCAGCATCACAGGGGCCTCTCTTGAGGGCGGGCCCTCTGGCTGGCCTTCTGCCCCCGTTCATATTTCGTGTCACAAGTGTGAGCAGAGGTCAGTGCTGGGGTGGGGAGGTGGGATTAGGGGCAGGAGAGAAATAGGAGACCTCATCCCTGCTCTCAGGTTCCGTGCAGAGACGTGCAGGTGGTAATGACTAAGCTCGTTTCTAGAGAGACATCCCTGCAAGTGGAAATTAACACGGTGCAGCCTGATGGCTTTTGAGGGGAGCAGGTCAGCCCTTGAGGGTCTGGGCAGGGGTCAGGGAAGGCTTCCTGTAGGAGGAGAGCTCTTGGGTAAAGACAAAAGTGGCGTGGTCCCAGTGAGGGCTCTTTTCGGCCCTGGGCAGTGGGCAATAACCTAATCCCTCTTATTCTTGCAGCAGATTGGTGGGTAAATGTGGGCTTTCACAGTTGACTCCTTCCACCCTCCCACATCCCTGTCCACCCTGTGGCACAGATGCCTGGCCTGCACCTTCCAGAGACAATCCAGTTTTTTCCTGTCCCTGCCCCCAGCCCTCCTAACCAGGGTGGCTCAGGGGCCATTCCAGGGGCCCGAGTCCCATCCTAACCCCCACTCCCCCGCCTGCAGCTGCAGAGCACAGGCCGGCTGCTGGAGGAGCAGCTGCCTGAGATGATGACCGAGCTCCTGGCCAGCGCCCGCGACAAGATGCTCTGCCCCTCAGAGTCGATGCTGACCCGGTCGCTGCTTCTGGAGGTCATCGAGCTCCATGCCAACAGCTGGAACCCTCTGACGCCCCCCATCACGCAGTACTACAACAGAACCATCCAGAAACTGACAGCCTGACAGCCAGGGGGCCTGGCGGGCGGCCCGCGGGCAGCTGGGGCCCTGGTACCCAGGGCCAGATGGACAGGCGGGAGGACAGGGGTGGCCCTGGCGGGAGAAAGAAGTGGGGAGGGAAGCAGGCAGAGCCGGTGGCCAGGCTGGAGCCAGACAGGGAAGGAGGAGTGCCCCTCGTCCGAGCCCCCCCAGCCCCACGCATGCGGCAGCTCACACCAATAAGGGAAGCATGTTTCTTTCTCATGGTGGCCCCGGTCGCCCCTCCCCACTCCCACTCCTCCCCGCCCCCTCCCGCCAGCTGCGTCCCCCGCAGGGCTTTGTGCGAGGGGTTTCATCTCCGTGACTCCTCTGAGGGCCTGGCAGCGCCGCACGCCAGGGTACCGCTTGGGTCAGAAAGGACCTCAGAAGGCTGAAAAAGTGGGTCGGAGACGGGCTTGCATTGTTCCTGCTGTCAGCCGCCGTCGCCAACTGGCAGCAGGCGACGTAGAGCAGATGTCCAGGAGGACAAAGGCAGGCACGGTCCCCACCGGCCGCCTGTAATTGACGGCCTTTGTCCGGCACGGTCAGGCTGGGGGTCGGAGGCTTCTCCTCTAACCTTCGCGCTGCACCCTCCCCACTTCCAGGTCCTCCTCCGGGTAGCCCCCAAGCCTCAGGCCCAGGGGGTGGGGCGCAGGGAGGGGAGCAGGAGTGTGTGGGTCTACTCATACTCTGGTGTTTTATTGTTTTATTTTCCAAAGTCAGCTGCTTTGAAGTCTCCTCTCTCAATGAAAAGAGTCCGAGATGTGATCACACAGTCAGCACCACGAGGACCCCCCTGATCAGTGGAAAGATCAAACCCAGCCCCCTCTGGAAGGATTCTAGCCACAGATAGCTTGCCAGTAGCCAATTAGGGTAATTGGAAACTTCTGCCCCAGCGGGGGTCCCGCTGGAACCCTGTGCTCCGCTCAGCAGCCCTTGGCTTCCAGGACCTCTGTTCTCTTCTTCTAGCCGTGCTCTGTCAAAGGTCTGACATTGTCGCAGGCGCCAGGAGTGCGTTAAACCCCGTCCTGGCTTGGGGGTGGTGTGGGGGGGTGCCTTGTGGTGAATGGGGCACAGAAGGAGGGGGGCAAATTAAAACCAAAACACTAGTTATGTTGCCCATGCTGCACACAGGTCTCGTCCTGGGCTTAGTGGAGGGAAAGTGGCTGTTGGGGACTGCCCGGCTCCCCCAGACTTGGACTGGAGCTTAGCGAAATGGGCTGTTGTGGCTGGCCTAGCCTTATCCCAGGCAGGATCCAGAAGCCGAGGGCCCCTACAGCCAAGGCCTCTATGCTCCAGGAGGGCTCTGGACACTGCAGCCGCTGGGCGGTGGGGAACAGGGCCTTCCCTGAGGCACGAGTAGAACAGGGAGGTGAGCAAGTGGGACCGCCGGACACATCTTTCCAGGCTGGGAACAAGACTGGGGTTTCTTGGAAGGGCCAGGTCCTAGGGAGAGCCCCTTCTCTACTGGAGGAGGATGTGGGTCAGGCTCTCGGAGGCTGGCTTTGGGGTCGTCACAGGCATCTGCCCAGCCCCAGCTCTGGGGTCTGGAGCCCAGGCTTTGATAAGACCCCGTAAAACACCACCCCAGAGCCCAGCAGCTTCTAGGCTACCTGGGTCCCTGGAGGGCCTTGGTTTCCTGGTCCACTCAGGCTGGTCAGGGGGTGAGGGCTGGAGATTTTCCTTGGTGGACTTTGCTTCTGGGAGAGCGGGCAGGGTGAGGTAGGGATGCGGAGCAGGTCCCCCAGTACTCCTTCGCCCCCACCCCCGAGCTGCAACCCATCTTCCAGCCCCGGGATGGGAGTCTATGCTGGTCCCAAGGCAGAGTGTGTTGGGGACATGTGTGGGGGACGCAGGTTTACCTGGAACTCGTCTGTAGCCTCTGCCCCAGCCTTCTTTGCCTCCTCTCCTCCTCAAGCTTCTCCTCACTGCCTTTCCTCCTCAGCGGGCACCTTCAGCCCAGCCGCCCCACGAGAGGCCCTGAGGGAAGAGCTAGCCTGAGGTTCCAGGGCTCAGAGAAGGCACCAGGGACCTCGTGCTCAGGAGGAGGCAGGCAGCCTCGGCCAGGCACGGAGCTGCTCCCAGGCAACCCTCAGAGAGCCACATCTGGGCTGTAATGGGCCTGGCTCCCCCCGTGTGTGAGTGCAAGGCATGCATGTATTGTGTGTGTGTGCGTGTGTGTGTGTGCGCACGTGTGTGTGTGTGTGTGTGCGCGTGTGTGTGTGTGCACGCTCGCACATCTGCTGAGAACAAAGCAGGGCCCCAGAGTAAGGGAATGACCCAGGGGACCAGGGTCTCCTGCCCCTTCCATGGAGCAGAAAGCGAGCACGCAGGGGCCGATGTCCCCTGCGAAGCCCGGACCCGTGGCATGGTGGGCACCGTGAGCCTCATGCCCCTTCCTCCTAATGGCCTCTGTGGTGGTCTTGCCTCAGGGCCACCCCTCCTTGACTGTTAGGACCAGAGTATGAAGAAGTAAGATATAAATATGTATGCATATATAAATATATTTTTAATTACGTGTCGTGTCACGGTGGCTCCAGACATACGGTCTGCCTAGTTTATCCCGTTGCTTGAAAGCGCTTCCCGGCCAATCCAAATAACACCGTAGGCTGTTTTTCTAAATGCAGGTTGCTGCTACTCTTTGGGACATGGAAGGAAAACGTTTAAAAAAAAAATTTTTTTTTTTTAAGGAAATAACAGTATAGCGCAAAATCTGTGACTCTGAGGCTGCCTCCCAAGAGAGACTACTCAGACAGGACCCGGGGAGCAGTAGTGGGTGCCCCACAGAGCCCGAGCCCCTCCCCAGGCCAGACCCCCCGTCTGCTGAGTGAGGAAGGCCATATCCAAGTTGACCTCTGAATGTATTTGACGGGAGGCAAAACTGGATATTGCATTTCTAGGGCTCGCGTTGTTCCCCCCACTCGCCCTGCGGCTTTCTTGGCGCAGTGAAGAGGCGAAGTCTGGCCATCTGATGTTGATCCTGTCTCGGTCTGTCCCCCCCCCCCCCCCCGCCAGTCCAGACCAGATCGTCCTTGCTTTCCTCTTAGGCGGCCAGCCTACTCACCACAGTCCTGCTCCCCTCAGCCTCGTGGCTTTGCCTGAGTGCTGGGACCACAGCCGCAAGAAGGCTCCTAACCTCCCCCGGGAGAAGGTGGGCAGCCCCGCCATCGTCCGTGGGGAATGTGCACCCCAAACCCAGTTTTGTCTGTGGGTCCTTCCTCAATCAGTCTGTAAACCTTCGAGGTTTAGGGATCGCCCTGTCCATCTGTGTAAATGTAAATGTTGGCCGAGTTGGTATTTATTCTAATTTTTATTTTATTTTATTTTCTCTGAGGGATGGGGGAGGGTGTGGGAAATGTACCACTGATCGCGCCCTGGGCAGCTGCAGGGGTGGGGACCCCGCCAGCCAGGCCGCCTCGAGAAGCAGCCCCAGGGGGCCGCCCCAGACGCCACGTTCCAGTGTCTTATCTGGCATCAGAACCCGGCCAGCGTTCCTCGTGCGACAGACTCTCAGGGCCTGCCCATGGAGCCCTGTGCCTCAGCTGCTGGCACTCTGCGGGCACCTCTGCCCGGGCCTTTGAGGACGCAGATCGCGAGGAAGACAACACTCCCGTGCTTGGGACACTGGCGTACAAGGGCTGCCCACCTCGCCTGAGCCAGCTGAGAGCCTGGCGACGGGACCTACCTCCCTGGAGAAGGGGCCTGGGGCTTCCCGCCAAAGCCGCAGCAGAATGCTCCTCACACGACCACGTTCCCTCCCTCCTCTGTCCCGCTTTCCAGCTGAACCCAAACTACAAGTGGGTTTAAAAAATAAACACCGAAAACCAAAAATGCCCTGAATCCATGTTCTCTGTGTGTTCGGCAAAGGAAATCTTTCCCAGAACCGCCTCTGGCCTCTGCCAGTGCTGGCAGAGACCTCCAAGGAGCCCCTGGCCAGGCAAGGAGCTAATGAGAAGATTTCCCACAGTCTGGCCATCTTGGAGAGTGGGGGCATGGTCTGGGGCCTGGGGAAGGCTAAGAAGGAGTGGTCCAGCGAACATGGGTGGAGGACACTTGTGCCCCCCACCTCTCCAAGCTGGGAACTCTGGCCTATCCGAAGGCATGGGATCTGGCCAGTCCTGCAGAAAATAGCTTTTGCTCTAAAGATGTGGCTTGCCGCACTTTTAACCACCCCACCCCCCAAACCTACCCCTTCCTTAGAAATCTCACTGGAGCATTTGGCAAAGACTTATTTTAGAAAGATGGAGACTTGGACCCAGAAGCTTCTAAAAGTCAGCAGCAAGTGGCTGTGCAATCCCAGTGGGTCAAACCAGTCTTTCATCAAAGAGGCCCAAAGGGGCCCAGTGATTTATTTTCCTGTGATGACATGTCCCTTGTTTTGCACAATCCCTCCCATAGCAAGACACTGGGGACACTGCCTCCTGGTAACAGATCCCCCTCAGGGGTTCTCTCTGATTAGAACCTGCCAGTCTTTTAACATTTCGGGGCAGCAACAAGAGCGTCCACCCCCACTTCCTGCGTCCCTGGCCTGGTCGAGACGGCAGCCAGCCCAGCCAAGGAGCCTGGCGAGGGTGAGCTGAGGTTGGTCACTGCCTGTGACTGAGTCACATGAAACTGTGCAGGGACAGCCAGAAGTGCACAGATTGGTTGAGGGAGATAACGTTTTAATTAAACAATCGCGGCATTTGTCAAACCAAAGTTTCTACAAAAATGCAATTTACAAACATGCAAAGGTGTAGAACAAGAACGTGGAGATCAGCGTGAAAGGCGTTTGAAGGTGGGAGAGAAGGTGGGGAAATCCTACCAAACAATTGTTCACAGAGAGGGAGAAGAGCTTTTTCTGGGTGATGTAGTCCTGGTTCCAGAAGCTTCTAAGTTACTGAAAACTATGAAACACATCGTCCAAATGATAAACGTTTCGATCCTGCATTTCACCACTGTCTCTGCTGATGGGTGTTATCCGTCCTCCTGAGGATACGTTCCATATGTCCCGGGGTCTGTAGGAGGGAGGAGAAGACAATTTGGGATGCATAAGGTAGGATGTTGTGTGCATATGCACCCAGGACTGGGAAGAGCCTTTTATGAGCCAAGGTAAAGAGAAGGAAAAGAAGAAATTGAGAGGGAAGACGGTGCTGTGCCTTAATACTAACAGTCTGTCGTCCCCGCTACTCCCAGGGCCTTCGGAGCCCTCCATACAACATCTCAGGTGGCTGGAGAAAGTAAGTGGGTATTTTTGATCCCCATTTTACAGATGAGAAAGCTAAGGCTTAGAGAGGGCTCATCACTGACCCAAAGCCAAGGGCTGGTCAGCAGGAGAGCCGGGAGCAATGTGAGAGCCAGGTGGCCCCTACCCGAGCCCAGAAGGCGAGTGAGCCCTCGGCAGCCTCTCCCCACTGACCCCGCTGAGCATGGCCCCTGGAGCCGCCAGCCACACCAGCCAGACAGAAGGATCAGCGGGCTGCCCACTGGGACCCCGGGGACAGCAGGCACAGTCTTCCCTCTGCGTCTTTTCTGGCAGAAAGGAGGCACGTGACGAAATCAAGGGATTTGGGTGGGGTGGGGAGAAAAAGCCGTGTGGCAAAGTTTGGTGCCATTATGTAAAAGGATTCGTTGTAATATATGCAAACTGTCCCCTTGGATCTCCAACACACCAGTGGTTCTCAATGTGGGCGGGAGGCGAGGGAGATGCTCCTCGGGAGGCTTCCAAGCCGGGGAATCAATATCTGAATTGCCTGGGAACTTCTCAAACTATACTCGGAAGGAGGACACCCATATACACCAGAGTTTTCAGAATCCTGCCCTCAGGGAGCCCCTCTTCTTACTGGTGGGGACACAGGTGCCATGCCCTCTGTGGGGAGTGAAAGAAAAGGTGTTTAAGGTCTCCGTTCCTCCATCCCTCCGTGCTCACTCCAAGACGGTAGCTCAAAGGTAAGCACAAAGAGCTTACAGCCATTCTTCCTGTTTAGAAACAGCTGCAGTCCTCACCTCCATCCACTGGATAGGTGTCACCAGCTTCCCAGAAGTTTGCATTAGCCACTTCGCATTACAAAAGACCCACATGAGTGCCCGTTTTCCCTAACCTAAAGCAATCCGAAGAGGATTTTCGCTTTTATGATAAAACAAAGCAAGAGGTGAAAATGGCATTCAGCGTTTGCTGGCAGAGCCTGGAGAGAGGCAGAGGTGCCCTGAGCAGGGAGAGCCGAGCAGCCGGGCACCTTCCCTGGGTTAATGGCAATTGCTTCTTCACTTTGTAGCTTCTGCAAAGTCCTCATAGGAACATAGGAACACTCTACTTTCAAGCAAAGGAGGCCTGTATCGGGATTTGCCGTCCTAAGTGGAGTGAGGCTGGCCGGCGGGTTCACAGTCAGGGGAAGGGCTCCAGTAAGTAGCTTGAGTGCAGAGCAGAATAGATACCACAGACTCAGGGCTGTGTTAGGACTTTTGTGGGGCCCCAGAGCACCTCGGCCTTTGTCGGCCGTCCTTTTTCAAATAAAATTTAAAATGTGGGCATGAAGACAAATAGATTCCTGTTACTTATTAAAAATTTTTTTTCAACCTAGAAATTAATTTCTTGCTTCTGATTTTAAAAGACACGAAAAGTGTTTTGCAGGCTCCTAAAAGTGTCGTGTGCCCAAGGTACCGGGTCTAACGGGTCCATCGACCCTGAGGGAAGATCGCACCTTCCGTGTGCCTGCCTGGGTGAGCAGGGCGAACAGGTGTGCACGGAGTTGGTCAGCAGGGCTCGCATGCTGCCATCTGCTGAGGAAGCAGCTGGCCCCCTCTGGAAGTGGATGCAGTAGGGCTTCTGCCCCAGACCGGCTGCTGGGCAGAAGGCCGGGAGCGCACGGCGAGCAACAGTGTCTGCCTGGCCCAGGAGACTGGCCCAGAGAGCTCAAGGCAGCACCCAGCCCTAGTTCCTGTACGCAGAACTTCTACACACATGACCTTGTGATGGGCTCACCAGAGTCCTGGGAAGGGACTAAATGACATTATTCTACCCATTTTACATCTGGAAAAACTGAGGTTTAGGAACCATGATAGTCGAATGGCACGTTCTGTTTTCAAATACATGTTCTGGTTTGATCCTCACAATAGCTCTTCCAAGTGACAGACACTTTGGACTCCATTTTATTTCTTTTTGTTTGTTTGTTTTTAAAGATTTTATTTATTTGTCAGAGAGAGAGCACAAGCAGAAAGAGCAGCAGACAGAGGGAGGAGCAGGTTCCCCACTGAGCAAGGAGCCTGACCTGGGACTCAGTCCCAGACCCTTGGATCACCACCTGAGCTGAAGGCAGAAACTTAACTGACTGAGCCACCCAGGCGTCCCTTGCCTCCATTTTAAAGGTAGGAGGGGCCCTGCACTGCTGCCTTCCTCGTCCAGAAAACCTCCTGGTGGGCGTGTGGGGACCAGGATCCTGGCTCCTGGCCTCCAGTACCCATGGTCACCTTTGTGCCCAAGGCCCCTTGTTCTGCTGTGTCCCCTAGTTCTAATTGACCACTGGCTCCCAGGGACAAGTAGGGGCTTAGGCCAGGACACTTGGGCCCAGTGGTCATCCAGCAAGACATACAGGGACACAGCCCTCAAAGGAATAGGGATAGGAGGGAGAGGGGTTCATGGTTGGCACGTCGTTGGTGCCTTTAGGCCAGAAGTGGATTCTGCCTTGAGCTTGGCTAAGAGGAAAAGGAGAATTGCCAGGGCTGAGGAAGGGACAGTAATTCCTGAACCATGTCAGGAGGAGAGGAGAGGGTGCTCGGGGTCTCTGTCCATTAACTATGACCATGCGATTCTGTGTACCTAACTATGAACTATGTAACTACAAAGCTTGAAATCTCGGCGACTTCCAACCCAGATGTTCACTGCTCTTCTTTATGGGTCTACGGATGGGTTGAAGTTTGGATGATCTTGGTTGACGGGCAGGGGAGTCAAGCCCAGTCTCGAACATGGACAGTGGTTGAAGGTATAGTGTGCACCTTCCCTTACTGTTACCTCCTCCAGGAAGTTCTCCCTGACTGAAACTCCTCCACCGTGCTCCAGCAGCTCCCAGGGATGCTCCTACCATGGCCCTGCTCACTGTGTGTGACCATGGGCATGTAGGTGGCCAGTGCCCACAGATCATGAGCTTGACCTCATCCCCTTTGCATCTCCAGCCCCAAGCCCCAGGCCTGGCCCAAGCAGGTGCCAAACAAGCATGTGGGGGACAGTGGGTGAACTGTGGCAGTGAGGTCCAGGCAGTAAGTGACAGAGGGGCTTGGGAGGGAAGAGCTAAGCTACCCAGACCAGTACAAAGTGGGGGGCCCCACATGGGACAGGGACTTCCAGTGGGGAGGGCTGGAGGTGGCCTTGGGGTCCTGAGCTCTGACAGTCCCAAGAGGCCCCCGGGGGGGTGGATTTTTCTGTGGTTGGGGCCAGAGCCATGGCGAGTAAGCCAGGGCCTTTGTGTAAATGAGAAGGAGATGCCCTTCCTCCCTCAGGGCTGCTGGTCCTATCCTGGACCCGTCAGCCGCCACAGATGTGTTCAGCCGGGCCCTGGTGTGGGACACACCCTGTGCGCTGTGTGAGAGATTTCCAGGGGCCTGGGTGTATGTTTGGGGTGGGGTGCGTGTGTGGGGGGTGTGTGCAGCACGCATGTGTGGGAGTGTGCGAGCGTGTGGGGCAGTGTGTGGGTGTGTGCACACGTGTAGGGTGTGTGCACGGTAGTGTAATGATACCTGTACATTTGTGCTGCGGTTTCTCAGCCCCCCGGCTGGCTGGCCTCTGAGCAATGAGGGGTGAGAAGCAGAGATGGGAGGGTCCCAGGTCCCAGAACTAGAAGCGG